TAAGGATGATCCTCTCTCTTCCCTCCTCCCACTCCCAAACTCATCCCTGCCAATCAAATTCACCTTCGTCATCCTTGTAAAGTATTGTTGCTTTTAACACCAATTTAGGTGTAATTTGGCAAGAGGACAATCGATCTGATAACCCACCCTACTCCCTGTCTGGTGATGTTCAGCATTTGGCTGCTGGGATTGTGGTATCCCAGCAGTTCTGGTTCCTGAATTATTTGCACGCTGATACATATCAAAGAGTAACAGGTTATATAATATCCACCAATGAAGCCAAAGGGGAAAATTTTCAGCTGACACAAGAGCCCACTGGTCTGATCTGCTGAAGCCAGGGTACCTCTGTGCAGACAGCCTGGGGACCCCCACCCACTTCCCATGGCACATTTCTCTGGAGAAACCCTGGGAGCTGCAACAGCAAATGCTCATCTCTGTGCTTGCTTACAAGCCCTGCAGTGCAGCTCAGCAGGTGCCATTCCCTCAGCAACTGCTCTGGTCTCTCCTCTTAGTGTTTTGTAGTAAAGTCATGCAAGAGGTTTCCTTGATGTTTTATCGTCCTTGGTGGAAAAGAAGCATCAAGTTTCCCACCCCTTGAGAACAACCCCCCCCTCTCTCTTTCTCTTTCTGCTATTAAATGCATGTATGTCTCTTGTAGGCCTGAAGGTGAAAGCTCTTAAACACAAAGAAAAAAAAGACATTTCACTGCCATGAGGGATGGGACAATGGAAAACCATTAGAGCAGCTGATCTCCTGTCCCGGAGCATCCATTATTGCTGTTGCTGGTGGCATTATTCTTCTTGCTCCCCTCTAGGTAGGCTCCTGCAATAGGGCAATGGATGTTCCCTGGCATTGTCCTCTGAGCTTGATGAAGTAGAAACCATCCTGACTGCGGCAGGAACATTGTTTGCTACAAGCAAAACAATAGTTGTCATCCTCCCTCTTCCCTCCTTCATGCTATGCTTCATTTTGGTTTACATTTAAAGAAATCAAAACCAGTCCGTCATTGCAGCAGCTCCCCCAAGCTCTTAGGACTTGCTCTTTTGTAACTCTTGCAAATTCAATACAGGGAAGCAGGGAGAAAAATAAATCCTTGGACATGAGTCTGGAATATTTTTAAACCTCTCAGAGCATGTAAATTACTTATTAATACTAATGAGGCATGCAGCGAGTCAGAGTGAAGTCCCTTGCATGCTGAAAAACAACATTGCAGCAGTGAGAGTCAGGTGCATGTTGCAGCACCTTTCATTGGTCTGATAAATAAAAAACTTTGAAAACAGAAATATCTGAATATTTTTTAAATGGCCTGTTAGGATCCCTGGGCTGTGGCATCCCTGCCTGGTTTAGGGCAAGAAACAAGAGTATTTGGTGCAGTGCTGCATGCAGGAGGGGGCTTTATGGCTGGGCGAGAGTAAATGTGCCCCCACATTCCGGATGTACCTTGCAAAGCTGCAAGGAAGGGCTGAGAGATAGGCACCCAGGAAGAAACAATGATTTAAAAGCTCTGGCGGGTCAGAAACAGGATAAAGTAACTACAGATTACTAAAACAGATGAAGATTTATAGAAATTGTCAAAGGAGTGCTGTGCCCTTGGCAAGCGATGAGAAAAAAAAACAGCCCTAAAAGGTGGCTGAGCAAAAGCAGTTAAATTAAAACCATCTGTGACTGAGTTTGAGGAGGAAAGCAGCTGGTAGGGGCTGCAGTGCTTGGTGCAATGTGGGGCCGGGGGAGCCTGAGAGCACATCCAGTGTTTTGGTTCCTGCTGGTGTATGGCTGAAGTCACTGCTCATTACAGCAGAGCATGGGCATGGAAAGAGGAGGCAAGAGAAGAATGAATTTTCTCAAGCTGTCTTAATCGTGCCTCTGCTCTGCTATGGAGGAAAGGGACTAAACCTGCAACCAATTTGGAAGCGGAGGAATAAAAATTGTATTTTAGAGAACTTACAAGAATGGACTGAACTGGATTTCAGTGAAGCTTGATTGAGAAGCACTCACTTTTAATAAATTATTAAATAAATAATATTGATAAATCATACATAATGTAATACTTACATAATATTCTATTCATTTAATAAATACTTACATTCTATTTTTCTACTAATGAAAGTGTACAGCCAATTTGTCATACTGTGACCCTCTATTTTAGTGTAATCAATGAGCTATCCAGAAACTGATCATTTCTCAGATCAGAGTGGGTAAAAAAGTGTTTATATTAATCTACAAAAGTATGAATGTTTAACTCAAATTTGACTTATGAATATTTAACTCAAATTTGACTTCTTTTAACTAAAACACTTGCATTTTAAAGGTCTGCTCATCATTATGTTTGAAATCATGGCAACATATATTAAAACCTGAATGAAAATAATTGAAATTAAGGTATCTTTTTCAAGTTTAACAATGGATTTTTTTTTTTAAGGCAAACAGATTGACTGAGAAAAAGCAGCAGAAACCAGATTTTGTTGAAATAGTTTGAAAATAACCTTTGCTAGCAATAGCTTCTTTGGAGGTGTAAAGAGCATATTTCCTCATATTAGTGTATTCACCTTGATTACTGCGATGTGTTTAATGCGAGATTGAAAAAATGTCCAGGAATGAAACCACAGAAAAGCAGCTTTTCTTATGGGTGAAAAAAAAAAAGGAGTGGCAGTGATCTACCACTTCTAAATTCTTGTAGGATAGAAGAAATAGAAACAACATTAGCTCCACTCCTGAAATACAGTAAGTTGTGTCCTCAATACACCTGTTAACTTCAAAAGACGGGGTAGATTAGAAGAAGAGGGTTGTGTATTCATGTGGTGGTGGAAATATGAACAGCATATGCAATGACTGCACTGACAGGGCAGGGAAAGTGGAAGTCCCCTTAGCCCTGCTGGTAAATAAACCCTGTCTTACTCTTCAAAAAACATATCTTTATTCTTTATGAATTCAGTATGGTTTACCAGCTTTCATTTCACCCAAATATATATATATATTATTCATTTCCATTGAATTCTCATTCTAGTTACATGCAGCTTGGTAGGCATTATTAGTTTGAAGAGTCTATTAATATAAAAGAGATGGTAATGAAGCATATGTGCTCCCTGAAGCATAAAATAAAAGACAAACAAGTCTAATCTGTACTTCTCAAATGAGCATCACAAATACAAGAGGTACCAAATTTAAAATTAAGACTAAAATTGTTTGTTGATTGCCACCTGTTGAGAACGTACTTTTTTTCAGAAAAAAATAAAAAATATTGAAACAAAAAATTAATTTAGATCTTTCTTCTCTGTGGTTGTGATTCTGAATTCAACCATATCACCACATGTGTGAACTGTAAGTCCCGGGGCATTTTCGTGACCCAGAAGGTAATGCAAGGAGCAGGGTCTCTTTTCAAGGGTCAGCTGGAGGACAGGAGGGCTGGAATAAAGTCCCTCTGATGCTTCCAGTGGTATGAGCAGTACCAGCATTTCCCCCGTCAGAGGTGACATAACTAGACTGGTCCTTCAGCTACTGATTAACTTCATGCCAGTGAACTGGCCTTGTTGCACAATATGTTGAACCTCTAAACCCTCGAATCCAGCTGCTGGATTTCAAGATCCATCTTTACATCAAAACATCCTAAAAGCGATGTTCAGCCCTTGAGCGCCCCAGGGATGCTGTATCTCCACAGCCTGGCCTTGGCCATCACAGCAAGAAAGCAAAGCTGCTGCATTCCTCACACTAAGATGAAAAACGGAAAATATCAAGTTCACACAAGCATTTCCTTTGTCAGCTATCTAGACTTTATTTTTCCAATTTAACTTACAGCGAGCCTTCCAAACTTGGTGCAAGCCCAGAACATGTGGCAAATATTCATTTCAGGTCCATTTTCCAATAAGATGGAGCTGGTTTGTAGTTGGGGCATATGCTTTGATCCTCCCACTTGGAGTCACATGAGAAGTCAACTCCGTTCTTTTTTTTGCCCTTAAATTCACGGGTATTCCCCGTCACTGCCATTGACATCTGCTCAGTGGGTCTGGAGAAGGGATGGGTGATTTGTCATGTCTTTTAGGACTTTATGCTCCTTGCTTAGGCGGGCAGACGATCCTAGGAGACGTCGAGCAGCAGAAAACTGGTTGCACAGGTCTGTTCCATGTCCTAAACTTCTGTGCATGACGGCTGATGTTTTGGGCAGGATTGTGTAGGAAAAAAATACCACTTTCAAAGGCTCTCAGTGACTAAAAGAAGTTGTCTGAAGGGAAAAGGTCTGTTAGAATTATAAAGGTCCTTGGCACAAGATGGAAAGAAGTAAGTTCCTTCGAGATTCTCAAATTAGTAACCTACCTAATTAATAAGAGCTGCTAGAAGAGGGAGGCAGTCTGACGGTTTATTTCAAGGACAGAGTGGTGGAAACTCTCCTCCCAAACCTGATGATCTGTGGTCTCAAATTAATGACTCGCAGCACTTTTCAGATCCCAACACTCTTTAATGAATAATCAGCGCTGTCTGGAAAGTTTGTGCGGGTCTCCTTCGTGCCACACAACGGGCACCTCCGAGCACTCGGCGAACCACCGTCCGGCGGCTGCCGCGGACGCGCTCCCTGCTTCCTGCACGGCCTCAGCAGCAAGACCTTCCGACGCCCGGGAAAACAATTCCCGCATCAGCTCCCACTGCGCGGAAGCTCATCCGGGGCCGCGCTCGGGGCCGCGCACACGCGCGGGGCGGGGTCGCGCGGGACCCCGCGGTGGCCGAGTGGGCGGGGCCCGGCCGCGCGTTGTGGGCGTGGCTGTGGGAGGGCCCGTGGGCGGGGCCCGGCGGGCCGAGGCCCCGCCCGCCGCCGGCGCAGGCGGGCGCGCGCGCGGCAGTGTCGGGATCCGGAGCGCGCGAGCCCCGCGCGGATCCCTGCGGGCGCCGCCGCCGGTCCCGTTGGAACAAAGTGCCCGGAGGAGCGGAGCACGGCGGGAGCGGGGCCGTCGGCTCGTGGGGACGGCCCGGGGGTGCGCGGCCCGCGAGCAGGCGGGAGGCAGGGAGGGAGGCGGCGGCGCGGGAAGGGAAGCAGCGGGGCCGGGAAGATGAACCGGAGTTTCAACAAATCTCAGACTCTGCGGTATCTGGAGTGCAGCGCGGTGGAAGTGAAGAGTAAGGTGAGCGGAGCGCGGCGCGGCCTCGGCCGGGAGCGCCCCTGCCCGGCGGCGCTCCCGAAAATGAATGGAGCCCCCCCACCCGCCATCCCGTATCCCAGCTCCCCGTCCGGTGCGGCCGGAGCCGTGCCCCGGGCACAGCCCGCAGAGCGGTGACGGGCTGGCGACAGCTCGCGGAGAGGCGGGATCGCCGCTCCCGGCGAGCCGCCCCTGCCTGGCGGGAGGCGGCGGCGCGACCCTTCCCCGCCCGCCCCCGGCGCGGCGCCCGCCGCTCCCGCTCCATCTTTTGTTCCGCCGCGGAGACTCCGGCGGTAACTTTTCGGGGCAGCTGGGGGAGCGCCGTTGGCCTCGCCTGACGGGCGGGCGGGGGCTCGGCCCGGGCGCGGTGGGGGGCGCGGAGGCGGTGCCGCCCCCGCTCCAGGCCGGGGCGCTTCTCTTGCCGCTGCCTCGGTGCTCCTGCCGGCTCCCGGGGGGCGGGACGGCTTCCCCAGCGCACTGGCGAGAGGAGCAGAGGAGCAGGAGGCAGATGGGCCAGGGGTCCGAGCCGGTCCGGCCGGGGGTCCGAGCCGGAGGAGCCAGAGAGAGACCTGCGGGAAGCTTCGACCTCCTCCCAGCGGTGGCTGTGCCGGGTGTTACCTGGGGATGCTGGCACCGGCATCAGCTTGTGCGCGCTGGTGGTGTTAGGGAAGGAGTTGAGATCGGCAGGGCTGCCGTGTCCACAAACAGCGGTCTGCCGGAGCTCAGTCGCCTAAGATGATGGTTGGCTGTGCCTGAGGTTCGTCTTGCTGAGCTTTCTTCAAGAGCCTCTGGTCGCTCTTTGTTGAATCAGCACGTCAAAATCTTGCCTGCCGCCTCTGAGGGCGAAAATAAGTAGCATTTGAGCAACACTGAGAAATCTCCCTTGTTTTATACGCATACAACGGGCAAGGTGAAGATAATGCATAAGCTGAAAAGAGTACGGATAACTTTAGCCTGTTCTGGAGTCCCCAGTCATCTGCTGAGTTGGTGTTGGAGGTGATGAGTTTGGGACTTAGTGCTCAGTGCTCCCCATTTTTGTCTGTTGCTGCTGGTAAAATTTGCCTTCAGATCGAAGGCCTTGAGCAACATACAGAGCTGAGGTGACTTCAGTGGCAGAAGTATCTTCTGTCCAGGGGAGCCTCCGATAATTTCTAAACGTGGCACCTGAAATGTACGTTGAGACCCTTATTTCCTAAGCTCCTGTTGCAACTTGGAAGGGCTCAACTGGCCTAGAAAGTTCCATCCTGCTTCCATTGCTGGAAAGTTTTGGTTCAGTTTGTACTGGTTTTAAGACGCAACCCACCCACAACATTCATTGTGGCTCCCAAATCCTGTTTTCTGTCTGCCGCGTTATAACCCATGCATTGTGTGAGCTTTACACTAAAACATAGGTAAGAATTTTTAAGGTCATCCTCTCTCATCTACTTTAATATTGCTGTAGCTTGAGTTTGTTCTATTAACAATTAAAAAACAACTGTATAATGAACAGCTCGTAGCTTCCTCTATAGCTGCAGGAATTCTGTAAGTAAATCTTATGTGGCTCTATAGACACAGAGTGATATAGGGAGATTAAAAGTATAGCAGTGATTACAGATTTTTGGAAGGAAGGAAAATAAGTTTGTATGGGTGGGAGGGCTTTACTGGACGTCTTCTGTAGCTCAGGGTTGTCACCGCTGATGACCCAGAAGTAACTGTAGAGGACTGTACTGCATTGGAAGAAAATTGGAGGAAAAAAAATAGAGGCTAATGTCAAAATATCCTGCTGAGGGCCTATGCCCAGTGATGATCCCTGAACCTGCAGTGTGGGTCAGTGGAAGCTGTGCTGCTGAATTTCCTGGTGCTGGTGGGTTTCACTGTTAGCATGACTTGGGCACAGTAACAGCCAGGCTGTTGATGTAGCAGGCTGTTGCCAGTTGCTGGCAAACAGAGGTTGGTACGGATGGTTTTCTTTTGTCTGTAAAGCTCATAGATTCCCTCTCATGGAGTTACACTTCAATGGTTTGAAGCGAAAAGCTCTGGCAAATGGTACCTGGCAAAGTACTGTGTCAAGGCCTCATACCTCCTATTAAATATCTTATAGGGTCGGTTATGATGCTGTCTGTCTTGTCCCTGTGGATCACTGTGTTGTCCTGCTGTGATCAAATGGAAATACGGATTATTGAGGCTTTTTGTTTGCATGGACTATCTAAGGCTGGAGAAACAAAAAGATTGAGTAATGCTACTTTTGGTAGCCATATGTAGTCAGCTTTTTAAACATTTAGTTGCCTGTGTTTTGTAAGTATGAGGCCTGTCCCGGCTTGCCTGAGAACTTGAAAGTTGAGTCTGAACTCCTGCTTTTGCAGCTATCGCCTGAGAGCACAAGCTGCCAGGTGAGCGAAGGTGGGTGCAGCTCAGCCTCTGCGCTGGGGCATGCTGCTGGCCCCAGATCAAGGGATTCTTGGTGGCTTTTCAAAGGCTGGGGAAGTGGCAGTCAGTGGGCAGGTGGAATCCCTTTAGCGGAGGAGCTGTGTGAGAGAGTGCTGCTTTTACACAATGGTGCGAAATAGCTTTTCCTCTCTGAAGACTGAGTTTGATGGAAAGGAGCTCTGGAAAAAATGGTTGTGGGGAGTCGGATGGGTGATAGTCTGCAAATGTTGGATTTTTGATATCCCTGCCTCTGTTATGATAGCCAGGTGGTTCCTTTCTTAAGGATAAACCACTATCCAGCTGGTGTGTCGCATTAGTCACAATTAAAAAATGGCTCCTGTGAAAACTGAGGTTTTCCAGGTTTTCCTGGGTTTCTTTCCTTTTCTCCAAAATAAAGTTCTCTAAAGTTGGTTTGTGCCCTTGATTATTGGAAGGGGAGAACTTATCAGAGCTTAGTACCATACTGGGTAAGACACTTCCCTGTAAATCCCCAAGTATCCTTAAGTTGTAAGGTTCCTGATGTGTGCCAGAGGATTATCAAAAAAAACCCCAAAACAGGGCAGAGTGGAGAGAAGGAGGAAGGGAGCATCTTGGTGGCTGAATTCACTCCAATTTTTCAACATTCTTCTTGTGTCAAAGAACCCAAAACTCCAGGCAGTATTCTCTTCTTGTCCAGTAGACCTGTGAGCTTTGTGGTTGATTGGATGGATTTCAGCTGGTCTGAGCCAGCCTGTACCTTTGCTGGACCTAGCCTGACCCATCATCCCTGCTGGGAATGTGTCCCAGAGGCATGCTTCAGCTGCTGATGCTTGTGTCTGTGAATTTTTTAATGCCTTGTGACTATGATCATTGGCAGTGATCATGTCTTTTTAGAAGGATGAGCTTCGTGACACTGTCATGACTCTTGGTGTACATCAGGTTGTTTTTTCTTTGTGTGACTAAGGTGCTGCAAAAGCCTCTTGGATCACTGTGTTGCAGCAAATACTGAAGGGGAAAACAGCATCTGCCATCTATGTGCACCTCTGTTTTCAGACATGGCAATGATGGAAATTGCTATAGTCTTCTGCTTTAAGAAGTCCTCTTCTGTCGGGCTCCCTGCTTTCTCCCTTCCTCTGTCTCCTCCTCTGAGAACTGGTCTTAAAATCAAAACACCTTAAAGCTTATTGCTAGATAGGAAAGTGGAAGGGTAAAGAGAAACCCACTTAGAAATTGGCACATGTCATAGGAAAATATTAATTGAATTGTAATTACACCTCAGCCCTCCTCTCCTGTGTTTCATGATAGAATAAATTAGAAGCTCAGTTCTTATCTAAGTGTTGTCTCTGTAGCTCAGGATTAATGTTTCAGCCCTTTTAGACAGGATCTGAAAACACATTATCTTGCTGGCTTAAAGCAACTGTGTATTCTCATGTGTCTAGTACTCACTGCCTCTTTTCCTCTGTTGGGTGACAAGTGAAGTATCTGTCCCCTCTGAAGAAAATGTCTCTAATCTCTGAAAAAATTTTCCAGATGACCCTTTCTCTCCCTTTTACCAAGAGGTCCAGTGCCTGCAGTGTGTGGGGCTTTTTTTGTTTGTTTTGTTTGGGATCTCATGGCCACAGGCAGGGTTCTTAACCTATTTTTCATTTTCTGTCTTTAGCTTTACAGAGAGGTTGTAGGCTTGTTTGCCTGTAAGTATAAGCCTACAGAAGAACAAATACTTGTAAAATAGGAATTCCTACATTAATGGTGAGACTTCTCTTTAATTATAACTCCATGTAGCCAATCTTTTGTCTTGCTCTGAGTGAAAGGGGATTTAATTTTTTGTCCCCTTTTTTCAAACAGGGAAGGTAGCTATCAGCCCAAATACGTATTTCTTTTTGAGTCACTTAGATATTCTGGAATAGCAGAGATATAAGATTGCCTCGGGCCTTTAAATGGTAGCCCTTTGAATTGTTAGTGAAAGTGTGTGGTTTTTTGTTTTTTTTTTTTTTACTTTGAAACTGACGGGTTTCTGTTTCGGGCTTAAAAGCAACAGCACTATTTTTCTGCTACTACTATTTAAATTCCTGCCAACTGTATATATACAAGTAAGAATTAATTTTCATGTTTTCAAAACGGGCTAAATGTACTCATGGTTCCCTGAAAAATAGTCCTTTGGAAAAAACCCTTTGTTGTTGCTGAACCCTCTCAGACAGTGGAACTTCTGATAATGGCTGAGGATTATAAAAGCGCAGCTACCTGATTCACGTGCTGACTGTGACATTTCTGCCTTATTAATAGTGTCATGTTTTCTTGCATTACAAACTGATTTACAAATTAACAATAATGTGACTAACATCCTACTACTATAAACAAACCCATTAAGATAAACAGAACCAGTTAATTATAACCATATTTTTTACTCTCTTCTCCCATCCTGTTTTGACTTTGTTACAGTAAATGTTGGTGTTCAGATGGATGTTGCAAATGGATTTTTAATAAATATTCAATCATTTTTGATGTGTCCTGAATTGACGTGATACAGTTATGGTTTTCAAAGACAGAGAGCATGTTTAGGATCAGCTGTGCTCCATGCTCTTACAAAGTCACTAGCAGCT